GGGCTCTCTTAACGGCAAGGTTTGATGATACGCTGGAAATGAAAGCAGACGACGGACGGAGCGCGGAGTACATCTACGGCTCTAGCAGCCTCATCGGCAATCATACCAGGAGTACGGGATTCACAACCGAAGGACAGGAGAAAGAGAGAGGAAAGGTTAATTAAAAAAGGGTTAGAAATAGAGCTATATGATGTTACGTGGAACTAGCCGGCTCAAGGTTTATCGAAACTTATGTATGTATGTTACGTAGTTAGGCCAATCCCTGGGATGACTAGCATGGTCACGGCTTATTAGGGACCCAGGGTTCGTCCCCAAACCGTCGAGCTGCATCTATACGTACAGCATCATCCCCACGCCGCGAATCAGTCTTCGTCGATTTCATCCTCGAGTATGTAATAGTGTGAGAAGAGAGGTAGTCAAGAGTATTAGAAACAACACTAGAAAGACACCTGGCTGTCGTCCTACCGTGCCGTAGATACGTCACCCAAAACGTCTACGCATCCGTACGTAGTTAGACGAATATAATAAATATGTTAGGCACGAGAAGGTAAATACCGTCGTCTCCCAATAAGACACGCACCTAATCTTGTATAATAGAAGATGGGATACGTGGGGCTCGGAGCCTCGGGTTCACTCCTCATCCCACCACGACCATCGTAATGATTGATGATTTCAACTGTCGTCGTTCGACCTTGGTTGAGATGCAACTATGGTTACACTATAGGACCGTGATAATTGGGCGTATCCTGGCGTATGGCATCATATATGTAGGTCATACAGGAAGGCGTTGCACTGTCCTTTCGCGGCAGATACGTTGGAATAGGAAATCAAGATTCAAAGAAACGAGAGATCTACATACCTAACCTACTATGCAGGTGTGTAGTCTGTATGTACATTTGCGGCTTGCGAGAGATGGATCTGTAAATGATATTCTAGCAAGGTACATGACGCTGACCGAATCTGGATTGCGCCAGAGAAGGCCGGGAACCATGCTAGCAGGCTAGGAACAAGGCCCGATATTGCATGCCGGTACGGTAAATCAGGTCATTGGCCAATGGCTCGAGATCGTCCCAGGTTACCCCAGCCTCAGCTTTCTCCTAATATCCCGGGTCGACGCTTGCTGACGGACAGGACGCTCACGGATCCTCGTCAGGGACCTCTCTAGGGGCGCTGTCGTGTGACGCTATGCTGTGCGGCGCCCACTCTCTCTCGCCCACAAGGCGGATACCTATGAGGGGGGAGGGGGGGGGGGGTCTTCGGCTGGGGAAGTCTGCTTCATCTTTTGTCTTTTTTCCTATTTGCGCGATTCTGTCGTGTAGCGCTCGGCGCCGTGTAACAGCGGGCGAGATCATCGTCGGGAGTGTCACGGCGCTGTGCTTCCCACCCCTGTAATACTACTTGTATACTACTTGTACAAGTTGGCGCATTTGCTGCTGTTTATTATCGGCCGACTGATCTAAATGGTATATCATTCGAAAACCAGGATAGGGGACAATGACGGTCGTCGAACCCTGTCGGCAGCCGTCTTCAATCGGCAGGTCGTTGCTTTGTCTTGCAGGCTGCATTAAATCTTGCGACTCTACCGGAAATAAATACACCCAAGTTGAACCGGCGAGGAATAATAACACCTCGCAGAATGACAACCAAGCCTCAACCTTTCATGGCTTCCAATGTCTTGCCTATCTCTGCGGCAAGGACGCATGCACATCTCATCTCATCACCTCTTCCTGAGCAAAGAAGACTTTCTTATTTGAAATTCTCTCCTTTCCCCCTTCTCAGTGGGAGAGGCGCGAAAAATAATATTCAAAATAAATAAGAGCGCGTTGATATGTACTGTGCTGCGATACGTTACGTCGACTATCGCGATTAATAAGTATCATCAGCATCTTTAAGGGGGTGCTGCGTAGGCGCAGTTTGCGGGACGTGCTAGTCGACCTACTACAGGCGCAATTTCGAGAACGTGATGTCGTATAAGTGGCCGGCAAACGTCAACGCCAGAGCAAGAGACCAGCAGCGGCGACAGGAGAAGCTATCTAAGCTATACTCTATACGCTATACGCTGTACATACGCTATACGCTATACTTACAAGCTGTGCGCACGTACATACGCGCATGCGATATTTGATATGGAACCTCCCACTGCCTTACATAATGAATCTGTGGGGGTTGACATATAAGTACCACCGACGACGAGCATATATGCAGGTATCGTCGTCTGAACCAACATACGGAGGGGCGACAGTGTAACTTCAACACACTGGGGGCCGGACCAACCCGGTACTACTTCCTAGTAGATCGTTATTATAGCAACGCGCAAAGGTTTCAGTTGCTTCTGCATGGAGCCAACCACGCCACGAAGTCTGTAAATCCGCCGTGAATGGAATTTTCCAGATCACCGTGGATTAAATGATGTATCGAATCCAACCCAAAATCTGGCGAGACCCGTGCTACTTACAGGGACGGTTCGCCGGACCCAGTGTTTCCAGACGTCCACGTAGACGCAAAGTCGTCACGCTTTCTCCAATGACAGGCGGCCGTGACAAGGTTAAGTAGTATAATACGTATTATCAAGCGCTGATAGGGGACAGCAATGATTCTCGTATGTCTAGGGCGCGTTGCAATCATGAACAAGCGGAACCGAGGAAGCTTTTCCAGACGACGCCTCTAGAGATATATGTCATGTCCTATCTTATAGCCTGGATTTATTGACTGGGTACCCGGCACGCTGCTGCTGCCGGTAGGGTTACCCGTTTGATAAATGTTGACGAATATTGGGGGCCGCACTCTTTAAGCTCTCGGATTTTCTACTCGCGCGGCTACTAGGTATAACCCATGTCTTGGCCATCAGATCTTCATATAATGTCTGGAGGGAAGAACAATAGGATGTTGCCCTCCATTCAGCAGGCGGGAAGTCGTGCTTTCGCCATCGCACAGGGAATTCCCCAGCGCCTTCGTAATCCCAGGCCCATCGACCCCATTGATCCCATTGATCCTATTGATCCCATTGATCCCACTGATAGCGTCCATCGTGGAGGCTACAGATCAGCGCTAAGTTCACTAGTAGACAGCCCGAATGAACCTCTAGCCAATCGCCAAGAGCGAGATCGTTCTAAATTGTATACGGAGCCGTTCTTGTGAAGATCGATTTGCGCTCCACAGCAGCACATCTCGAGCCTGATTCGCCTGAGACCCGGGATCTTTAGTCGGCTCGACAGGTCTTAACGACTTGTGAGCCGTAGGGCCCCAGAATCAGCTCCGGCCAGTGACAGGGCCGAGCTCTCACGAGCTCGTTCAATCCGTACGCGCTGACTGTGTTCAATTAGGAACACCTGATTGAGCCATGTACCGTACATTTGCCAACATCTGCCAACATTTACCTACATATGCTACGCATGCTACTCTCATAGCCCTTTTAATGTGTCAACCATACACCAGTGGGAAGAAAGAAGGAAAAAAACATACAGATGATAAAAAGTCAGGTCACTATCATCCATCTGGCACGCATAATTATTCGTATTCTTATAAGCGTATCGCCGCACGGTGGGATACTTCTTGGTAGGTCTGGTAGGTCTGGTAGTTCTGGTAGGTCCGTTAAGTTTAATATCTTGTAGGCTTAAGGTTCAATGTTGTATTGCAACATTGAAGTATTCGTCTAAGTCTTGCAATGTACCGGTCAAGTACCCGAGAAGAGAGCACGTTTTCCCAGAATCGACCCCATTTTCTACCTTTGGTACCTAGGTGTTTTAGTTTTCTAGGGTCTGCAAAGTACAGCCTAGGCATCTCTGGGTAGCTTGGATACGCGCTGCACGGTGCTCCGCTTAGGTGCTTGTCGCTATTAAAGAGCCCTGTGAATACCTACCTAAGTAGCTGGTTTAGTGCAGCTGGAAGTTTGCTATCGAACTAACGCGGTTTAGTACCATTCTACATCTATACACCCCCCGGTGCCTTGTAAATATAAACCCCACTACGCCTTCCCTGTCTACCATGCCCACTACATGCGGTACCTACTTTACAACCTACTGCGCCGCCATTACCCCTCGTCCTTGCTGTTGAGTTTCTTCAGTTAGAGAGTTATTAGAGAATTAGAGTAGGTAGAATCTCCGTTCCACATTGGCCCCAGCAACCCCAACTAGCCAAATCTAGTACACCCACCCCGACCCCAACCTCCAAAACCGGACAATTCTTAGCAGCAGCCGCTTCTCCAACTGGTGGCTCCGGAAAACTATGAATTTTTTTCAGGTTCTCCTCTTCTAACTTAACAAAAAAAAATCCAGTCACTTCATTTTTCTAACCTCTAACCTCTACCCGTCGTCACGCGTTCTCTCAATCGATTCGAGAAATACCAACTAAGGAGAGCAAAATAGCAATCGTAAAAAAAGGGGAGTAATTTTACTATTCGTATGTTTTCTCTCGGCCTGCGTCTCGTTTCTTATTCGGTTGTATTCGATTTCCCCAGCTGCTTTTGATAGGCAGCTTGGGGTGTCTATTATAACCTATGTGACATTGGAACCGTTTCCCTACTCTCTAACCTACATCAACATACTTTGGTACCTAGCCTGGGCAGGTAGCATTGTAAGGTTGTTTCGGCCTTGACGTCCCTTTTGAAATTAATACAGTATATTATATTTCGTATGCTCGGTTTTTATCAATTTACGTCTCTTCTTTTCCCTTTTTAGTTCGTGGTCTAAGATTAAAGCTCTTAGATTTTTTATTTTTATTTTTTTGGCTCTCGTTTTTAGTATTGTAATAATATGCACGTCGGACCCAAGGTCCCAAAGTATTATTAACCTATACGCACTTCCATGTCTTCTTTCTAGCAAGGTATCTGTTCCCATCATCTACAAGCTGCATACGGGTCGATCTAAGCACTACTCTACATTTCCACTAACTACCCTTACTTATTTGCATTTACTCATATGAGGTACGAGGCTACCTAACATGTATGTAGGCACGGTACCTGTCTACCTGCCTACATACCTACATGCCTACATACGCCTACATGTCTCTTCGTACTTTGCTATGCCCCCTACTTATCTTCTTAGCCATAATATATCCCCATAATTATGTCCCATTGCATCGTCTGTCGTTTACGTATGTATGTATGTAGGGGAAATAGTTAAGGTAGGTTATACACATCGACCGTTTCCCTCAAATGGGGTCATATGGGTCCATCTGCCTATATATCCTTGCCTCCTCTCCCGGGTCTGGCCCGCTGGCTTCATCTTGACGACTTCTCCTATGTCCTCTGGAAGCCCATTGATAATCGTAATGGCTTCTTTTCTTTAGGGTTTTCCTTTAGTCTGTTGTGTATTATATTGTTATTGCCGGCCCTGCCTCCGTCTCGGCTTAGATTCGCCTCTCCCGGAAAAGAAACAAAAAGGGAGCTCGAGGTTGCTCTTCTCGTCCGGTGGATAGGACAAACTCTCGTTTCGAGGTTTTGGATTCGGGGATTTCTTCTTTCTGTCGTTGTCTACAATATATTCATCGGAGATCTCACGCCACAAGGGACTACTAATAGTTGCCACCCGTTGCATAGTCCCGGTTTTGTCTATTGATCCTAATTCCGTCTATCAATCACAGACGCAAAGAAGGGCCTTGTCTGATTTTTATGCCCCCCTCCCCCTTCCTCGTTCCTACTACGCGTGACTTCACTTCGTCGAGTCCAGATCTCGGAAGACAGGCACACGTCACGTCCTAATTGGAACTATTAAATAGGCAAGTAGTCACTTCTTTCCCTTTTCCGCCCCGTCATTGCCGTTTCCCTGACTACGCATATCACGCCGCACCTGCTCCGCTTTGCAAGATCGCTTGGTCACTTGCTTGCGGTTGCCGCTTGGAGGGGCTGCGGTTTCTATTTATTGCGGCTCTTACAGCAAACCAACTACATCCTAGCTCCTCTCCGCAAATTGGAATTTACCTTGCTCGTACTTCCTTCCAAAGTAAAAACCAAACAAACAAACAGCTGACCCCATACATCTTAGGTACCTTCACTTGGAAGTCGATTGATAGACACCTGGTGGGGACTTGTCAATTTCTCCCAGGAGATCACTCAGACGACCGGCTCGTACGCAAAAGCAAGGCGCCTTCAACTTCCTAATTAAAATAGGAACAAACAGGAACAACAATTTGGACCTTTCCTAATAGAATTCTTGACAACGACGTTTATTACGTCACGATACATTAATACGTCTATCTGGATCTCTAATCTCTCCCACAGAGAGAATTATCCACGATGGGCATCACCACACCTCTGCCGGGCCTCTTTCACGTGCCCCTCGGCTTTCTTTCATCGCCAAATTTCTGGTGGTATACTTTCTGGCTCTTGTGGTAAGTTCTGCGCATTCACGACTGCTACGGTTTCTCCTATTGGATAACTTCCGGTCGATGCTCTGAAATATCTAACTTTCCACCAGGGTGCATCGTTACCTGCGTTTGGTTGTTCACGTGGTTAGCCACTGGACCTACAAGTCGAAGCCTATTCCTATCAAGCCTAAATACTGCTCCAATGACGTGACGGTCATTATCCCTACCATTCACAACGTCTTCGAGGAGCTTCGTCCCTCGCTAGAGAGCATCCTGGCTTGTCGACCGTTTGAACTGATCCTCGTGACAACGTTGGATAAGCACGCGGCGCTAGAAAGACTGGTGAAGACCCTCTCGACCTCTAATATTCGCGTGCTATCCGGGCCCATCGCCAACAAGCGACTTCAAGTCTGCGAGGCGCTTCCCAAGGTGAGGACCGAAATTACTATCATGGCGGACGACGACGTTACTTGGCCGTCAACTCTAATCCCGTGGATCCTTGCTCCCTTCGAGGACCCGAAGATCGGAGGCGTTGGCACCTGTCAACGTGTACGTCGAGAGCCGGACGGATCCCTGTCGACTCAGATCTTCAACTGGCTTGGAGCAGCCTACATCGAGCGCCGCAACTTCGAGATATCCGCTACCCACAACGTTGACGGGGGAACTTCTTGCATGTCTGGCCGCACTGGGGCTTACCGATCGGAAATCCTATCGAGCCACGACTTTCTGGAAGGGTTCAAGACCGAGCGATGGCGCGATTATATCCTGAACGCCGATGATGACAATTTCGTGACCCGCTGGCTGGTGAGCCACCAATGGAAGACATGGATCCAGTACGAGCGCGAATGTGAGATCGAGACTACCCTCGAAAACGGCCTTAAATTTCTCTATCAGTGCTCGCGATGGGCGCGAAGCAACTGGCGAAGCAACTGGACGAGCCTGATTCGAGAGAGATATGTGATTACGTAAGTCTTCTGACTACCTTTTTTTCGTTTAAACCCCTGTCCCCATCCCCTTGTCCCCTTGTCCCTTTGTCCCGTTGTAACATTGAATTACCCCAACGAGGTTGCTTTTTCATAAACTAACTATCGTCTCGCGTCTTAGTCAACAACCATGGTCCACTTACGCTCTTCATATTGCAACCTTTACTTCCCTAGCCTTTCTCGTGGATCCTCTTCTACTAGCTTCGCTCTGGTGGGGCACCGAGGGTTGGGACTTGGAAGTTCGCCAGCGCTGGTTCTGGGCTCAGTTTATCTACATGTTCGCATTCACCAAGGTGGTCAAGCTGATCGGGCTCTTTCGACGTAACCCGACCGACATTATCTTCCTCCCGGTTTCCATCATATTCGGCTACTTCCACGGTTTGATCAAGCTCTACGCTCTGATAACCTTGAACATGGTAAGGCATACCTCGAAGCATTGGACTTTCTAATCTTATTGCTAACGCGGTGATAGACATCTTGGGGTAGTCGACCCGATGGTGATGCTAACGATGCATTGCGTATGTCTCCTCGTCCCAGGAGGAGCAACAGCATTGCGACGCCTTCGCCTCGACATGATGATCTCGAACGTATGATTAGCAACGCCTTGGCCTTGCGCAACCACCGCACCAAATACTCCGAGAAAGAACTGCTTTTAGACTACGAGAGAGAGATCCCGCCGATCGCCGTGGTTGCGGGACTATCCTAGTGCGACGTGGGGGTTCTGTTCCGTCGCGGATCTTTATTCGGCTATTTTGGTACGGATTATTACGGCCTCCCGACAGGAGGTTACGCATTTTACGATTCATGAATGTTATATTTACGATTCGTTTCACCGAAGGGCTTATCGGAAGAGGTCAAAACGGTACTCATACGGTATAGGACCGCTACCTGAGACATGGATTGCGGCCAATAGCTTTCAGCCTATAACAGGGCATTGGTCTTGGAATTTTTTCGGGCATCGATGGACATCGGTTTTTCTATGACCCCCCCTTTAAAACGGCACCTGGTCTTAATTCTTCGTCAGAGAAGGCGGAGGAAGGGATTTTAGCACACCCGAGTAATAAGTTGACGGCTTTAGGGATTTAGCATAGTGGACGGCAAATGAGCTAGAGAGAACTCATTTTCGCGCGGTTGCCGTGCGATACTTAATCAGGCGGCTTCTACGGGACGGGCAGGTAGCATATTCATTTCCTATATTTCTCTCGCGTCGCATAATTCGGCATGCAGCATTTTTTTTTCGCGCTCGATTTCGACCAAAAGCAAAATGGTTGGTACGGATTAGTGTGTGTGAAGACGTCAGGGATGGATTTGGTTGGAGGGCAAAAATAGGGAATAGATTGTGACTCTAGTCTGCATGGACGTCTTCGGATTCCTCATAGATGTATTAGAGGGGCTACGATTCGAGACCAATCCGAGGCCGAGAAGACATAAAAAGGAAACAAAATAATAAATCTCAAGGGTCTTCTTTTCTTCTTCTTCACATGCAACTACGTACGTAATGGGACATTGGCCGACTAGGGGGGGAAGAGAATAGAAAAGAGTGCGTCGTACTGCATATACATGTATGTAGTAAGATTTTTGATGTGGTGTGACTTGCACTTTTATTACCTATCCCAGACGTCGATGGGATACGACCTATGTAACCCCCTTAAGCTATCGATCCGACCCCCGCGATATGGAATATGTGTGGTGCAGGAGACAAGGGGACGACACGGCATATACTAAATGCGACTGAGAAGAACGCGAGATCAACCATCTGAGGAACTCGTCAGGAGACTTGGTGTCGCACAGCATGGCCGGCAACGGTCTCTTAGGGATTTCTAGAGCATCGCGTAAGAACTGCTAAGCACTATGTCAGCACGCAAGACGAACCGGGGGTCCTTCACCCCCCCAGCTTTGACCACGCCAAGCTTGAGAGGCTCTGCCTTTCCATCCTCATAGGTTCCTTCGCGACCCAGTCGGATCCCTTAACGACTCGTTTGCGTCCCTCGTGGAATATACCACTTGACTCTTTTGTTATTAAATACGGCTATCACTTGTTCCCTAGATTCCCTAGATTCCCTAGATTCCCTAGATTCCCTAGATCGGGTCTAGACTATCTAACCTTACCGTATTCTACACCTCGCGGTAGGGCCGAGGCAGCTAGTTGTATACTCAGGCTTCGTCAGCTGAGGGCGCAAACGGCCTTTCCCCATACGACTGCTAGTCGCCTGGAGCTATCTGATATCGTGACGACCTTAAGTCCAATGCGGACCTTAGATAAGCTGGGCGATTCGGCCCTATGCTTGCTAAGATTCGGTTACCGACGCAATAGTCATCGAAGTACGCTCTCGTGCTGTTGCGGGATATGCCTGTCACCCATCCATCCTACCTAGAGCCAGGAATGCCCCGGATCATTCCAGATCTTGGGTCGCGGTCATCTCGGGGCGATGCTCTTCGCCCGGACTTAGCGAAACGCATAAGCCACTCGCCTGGAACCATGCGAGATGACTGATGAGGGGAAATTCCCGGAATATTAGGGAGAGGGAGGGAAGTCTAAGAGGATCGAAAGACGTCGACTCCACCCGTTCTAACGTTTAGTACAAAGGCAACCTATCCTATGTCGTCTTAGCCCTGAGCCTGCGTAGATTACTTATGGGTAAACCCCGCAATTGCATCTGAATTCGTGATCGTGCTCAATGTGACCCGGTCCCTAAGCCATCGCCTTTCTAAGTCGTCGTGCCGCGGTAAACGGCTTGGCTAGCTTGGTACTTGCTAACTACCACGTAGGTACAGATCTAGATCACGTACCCGATACGGCGGAAGGCTACAACGGTTATCTACGTCTATAATATTCCGATTACCACATGGCATCTAGCTTGTCTGCTCTACGACGGAAATGGACACATGCGGACTTTGTTGGACTTCGCGGCGGACTCGGTTTTCGGTGTCTCTTAGACCTTTTAGACCTCTTAGACCTTGGAAGCGGGCCGAGCACGCTCATATACCTACGTATATCCTCGTAGTGGGGAATTGTGACATCCGGTGCAGATACAGCAGATATGTAGATTGACTGGTGATTTATCACTTCGCTTCTCCAGCTTATCTGACGTTGGATGTGCGCCCGCAGCTGCAGGAGGACGCCATCCCACCACTGCGGTCCTGACGGAGCTAATTTAGGAATAAAACATGAACAAATAAATACTCCGTGTCTAGGCTGTTACTACGAGAGGCCACCTGCATGTCTTGGCGAGGTTGGACACACGACGGATGGGTTCTAAGCAGCCCTTGCGACTGATACCCCCCTGATACCTCCTGATGCCCCCTCCCCCCCTTCGACTCGAGAGTATTACTCGAGTACCTAAGGTATTGTATGTATAGGTAGGGTGTAGGTAGGTTGTAGGTAGGTAACAGGCAAAACGACGTAGTCTCCTGCACAACGTACATGAGCTATAGAGACCTACTGACGGCCTACTGACGGCCGATACCAACGCCTACGTAGTAGGCCTACGCCAATGCGATATCACTTGCATGCGTAACGACGCTAACTTTCCGGAAGAGGGAGTGGTGACACAATTTTACCTTACCTTACCCTCATCACCAACTTTGAGAGGTTCGAACGATGATACCGGCTTCGTACGCCTCGTCGCCTATAGGCTTCTTGCTACCGGCATTAGTGCTTATCTACCAGGGACAGGGACGAGCACGACCGCGGCGCATCCGCGTCTCGCGAATCCACCGGAGGCGGGGAGGGACAAGCAAGGATGAAGACGACGTCAAACTCCGTATGAGGATGTCACAGGAGCGGCTAAAATATAACGATGCACGCTCACAGGAGCTGAGAAAAAAAGAAGGATCCGGTCACGGTTCCGATCTAGATTTTCTCGGGTGAGACGGGGGCTCTTCTTAACCGGGTAAGAGAGGGAAAGCAAGAAACGGCTGACGAGAGATTCGAATACCAGCCGGTGGAGAGTTAGACACCATATCCCGGCAATGAACCATTGGACCCTGCTAGTCCGAGATCCTAAAGCGATCTCTCCAAGGACTCTCCCCGATCGACGATCAATCAAGCGATCAATCAAGCGGAATGCGCACCGCATTACTGGATGGGGCACATAGGTGTGGGTAGGTAGGGGGATAAGATGGGTAAGCAATCTATCCAAGGCTACCATAGCACGTAAGGTGTGCAGGTGAAGACTCGAAGATGCAGATATGACGATCGGCGACTTCGATCTCGACGCGATGACGATGATAGATCAGCTCGACGTAGTAGAGCATAACATGAGAAACAAACCCCTAGCTAGCTTGACATATTCTTCGACATATTCTTCAAGGCTAGGAGTTTAAGATTCTACATAGTATACAGGACAGGACACCCTCTTCGTTTCGTCTCCGGATTTCGTTCCCCTTTTCCGCTAACCAACCTTGGGCAATGGACAAGCATTTACTACGCAATACATAACTACGGTACAGTTATGGTACAGTGTAGTATACCACGTAGCATGCCATGTATTGTAGTATAATTCCAACTCGACTACCTACCTACCTAACCTATCTGCAACGCTAAGCCAGCAACCGGCGGCTCCATATACTGACTTTGCCCTCCCTTTATCCCTCGCGCATTTGCTAGCATCGTACTCGTACCGCATCTACACGCGAGACTGCAAGACTGCAAACCAAGGGCCAACGTGTACTACATACATAGTACAGGACCGCGCTAATCACGAACCACGCAAAAAAAGATCCTGGGCGGTTTGTAAGTTCGCGAGCCGCGCTTAACCTCATCCTCTCGGACCTGCGTCTACCATTATGCACGACCTTACAAATAAGGTGGGTAGTAGAGGACGAGGGTTGAAGGGGGAGAGGGAGGGGGGGGGGGGGGGCTACACTATGGACTCGCATGCATCTGCGCTATCTATCGAAACCCCCCTAGCTTTCTCTCTAACGGGTATGGTACCGCACGCCCTTGTTTATGCAACCTGGAGTTTTAAGATGCTGTAACTATCCATTGTGACATGTGTATATGTATGCGTATGCGTATGTGTATGCGTATGCGTGCGTATGCAGCTGGGCAATAAAAGTATCGTAACGGAGAACTCGAAAGAAGGGGACACGACATGACGCTGTTTGGTATTAATAGAAGAGAACTGAGCGCAGACGAAGAGAGCAATTGATAACTGAGGTATCATATATCTCCGAGCTTCTTCGACAGATGCGCAAAACCATCATAATGACGACCGAAGACGAATGGAAGAGATAGGATTCGAAATCTCAAACTCGGCCTCGCGCGAGACGCTTAGATCGAGATTGTCTCCGAGGTCTAAGGCGGCTTGGCGGTAGGCTTCCCACTTCCTATCCGGGACGCAACGTGGTAGTTCTCGCGTGCTCTTGCGTATGGGATACATCTATAGTACGTGGCCCCTTCGTACATGGGTACATGCGCAGGCGAGAGATGCTACATGTACATGAGAACTACAAGTCAGCGGTGGAGTATATACATAGGTAGAATAGGTAGTGTAGTGTAGGTATGTAGTGCCCATAAGTAGGTCGCGTGTAAGACGTCGTCTTGTATACATCATCTACATCATCATCATCATTATCAGCTATAACATAACCTACTTCGATGCGGTAGGAGACGCATAATTACCTACGTAGGTATCCAAACGTCCTTGACATCTGTCTCCGTCTCCCCTGTGGAGTTCTTCGCTCGACTATTAACGTAATGACATATAGCTCTTAAGCGTGCGAAGCAGGTCGTGATATAATACGTACATAGCACCTCTAAGGTATTGTATTGTACATTAATTAGCGGAATCCCGCAGCAGCAGCCCCGGTATTGTCTCCTCCTAGCATGCTACCTACGTCCCGGACTATTCTGCAAGTTGGTATGTACAGTACATGGAACAACAGAGACGCTAACCATTCGGTATCGTAGCAGGTCTTTTGCCTTTCTGGAGAACCGGACCTGGTCTTTTGCAGATCTCTCCTGGTCGATCCCTAGCGGACGTCATGCACGAAATTCAGATTGATGATGATGGTTTTCTTCAGGACAAAGTCGACGGATCCACGCAGCGGTTGTAGTGTAACGCTGCTGTGTTTGTTTTCAGGGATTGGGGGATTTAGTCCGACGTTAATACATAAGTTGGGGGCACCGTACCTTGCCTAATAACAAGTAGCCCCCATCCAACCGGGCCCCCTTATTAGGTAGCTTATTAGGCACTTGGTCTTTCAAATCCTCAAAATCTTCAAAATCCTCAAATTCTCGGCCGGGCTTGATTCGATTTCGAGATGTCCCGTTTCCGTTTAGGCTCTAGATCTGGAGGCTATGCACACGCACACATCCTTTACGTAAATCCACGTTGACGGATCTCGTCGTAGACCTAGTGGTAAGAGCGATCTGCCCGCCGGCCGCCAGCACGTCGCATTCCCCCCTCCTAGTGCATTCCGCGCAAGTGGAGACGGCGTCGTTAGTCGCTTTGCGGATAGTGGAATTACTGCATGCTACCTCCTCCTCATCAGCCATACGACAACGCATATATCTAGTATTAAACATACGCCAATAAAGTTCGTCGTATGTAATATGTATGAGTTACGCAAGAGGTTCCTCGTAAATGCGCGCCGATTTTGACGTGCTAAGGATGCTAAGAATGCTAAGGATTATAGGAAGAGTTTCGTCAGATCCGCAGTTATTGTTGTTTTCTCCCCACTTCCCCAAAACCCCATGATGGCATGATGATGTCGTCAGATAAAGGGTCCTGTCCTGTCTGGAGGGAACCGACGGCAGTCTAGGTTAAGCAGTTTGATCTGGCCGTGGCAATAAGCTTATCAGAGCCGAACCAGATTCGTGGGACCGCAGACGGACTGTAACCGCCCGGACGGGGTAAGCAGGCGAGATCCAGATAGACCTAGAGCACGATCTAGACCTCCGGAGATCATCTGGGGAAGCTGATCCGGTCTCCGTCTTGCGCCGCCGCGGCGTAGTAAGTACCTACGCAGCCATCGATGCGGTTTACTTAATCTATCCTACCGAGACCCAATCTATAATAACTTACGCCTTTATTAACTATCGTCGTATATGTGCTCTCATTCGCTCTTATACCCCACGCTCGTATTGACGTGGAAAATGGCATACCTTAGGTAAGCTAGATAGATGGGAAGACTGGGCTGGCATAATAGACATTGCTATGAATCCAGTTGACGCTATAGTAAACTTAATGGGCATATGGCTTCGAGAAATCCAATCGACTTATTTACTTATCCTATGCTAAGCCTTAGCAAAAGAAGCGTTGATATATTGGTATATTGCTGCTGTCGAATGGGCTTGGCGAGGTTTGGACTACCCGGAGGAAGTTCGTATACTCGAAGTGAGACGAACAGAATACTCTAATGGCAAAGAACGTAAGGGGCGGATATAATTACTTACTTACAATAGTTACGTTCTTATGTATTGTAGCTTCTAGAGATTGCTAGGTCTTTTGGACCCAAAGTATGGAATTAACCAAGGGTTTAGGTACTCAGCTAACAAGTACCTATTTACTTTACAAGTTTGGAGTCATTTGGAATTATTTTCCGATATGTAGTACTGGCGTGTTCCTATTTGGAAGGACCAGACTTTCTCATGTAGTCCCTAAACCCACTCGAATACCAAAACAAATGGATGTGTGTTTTTGAAATGTGCTCAAGAGAGCTACCTCAACCCATTAAGGACGGTAAAGGGTCAGTCAAATCTTCTCGCTTCAGACTGAGTATATTCCCTCTTAGTATCGCTGCCGCTCTGGGGACTAGCCCCGGGCGATCCTGGCAAAACTGAACGTCACCGGCTGGTGAGCCCCGGCTGTGGATGTCCAGGAGAAACTCTCCGGGCACGTTGACCTCATTAGTCTTCCCGGCAGAAACGAATTGGAAAATTCCGAGGTGATCAACGGTGATGGCGAGGCGTCGACTTTACGTAGCTAAGAAATAGAGCAGATGTATAAGACAAGAATTTCGCTGTACAGAGCTCTTTGAAAAAGTTAACGTTAGTACCTAAGGCAGGTAGTTTATATATACCTAAGTCATAAGACGAACTATTGATGAGTACCTCTTAGATAGTTAGGTGCCTAACCTAGGCGCCTAAGTAGTTAAAGCAACGCGTGCTTCGTTTTCCTTTGAAGCAGGCTTGGTTACTTGAAAGTACCTATCTAGAAATAAGTGAAGCAGAGGAATGAATCTCAACAGGTACTCTCAAAAATGCAAAAATGTGCGTAGATGTTACTCTTTTATACCAGACTACCTATTAAAAGATGCCAACACAGCTACATTGCTGTGTGGCAGTGATGTACCACAGCAGCCTCGCAACGAAGATAAGGGTTAGATAATTCTTGTTGTTAAAGCTCAATATATTTACCTCTCTCCCTATCATCATTTCTATTCCATAATCCATGAAAATATCTCTGGGAAGCGGCACTCCTAAGATTTGAAGAATCTGACCCAAAAACAGTGTCGAGTTTTCGGGATGGTATTCAAAAGAGTCCGAATAATACCGAGATTATTAATTTAGTACTTCAACAGGCATCTGAAGTATATGAGGAATATCGGGAAAGACACTCGATATTCCGCGACGGGGTCACGCAAAAAAAAGGCACATATTCTTAGATAAGATTCACAAGATGATAAACTCTATCATATAATTTAAAGGACTCATGGATGCCGGCTTAAAATTTGATCCTTCTGGATAATCCTAATCGATATACTTGCTAGATGCTATACTCATGTCAACTTTATAGGAACAATTGCTTGGTCAGCTACATCGGCTTGTTTCCAGGTACAACCTAGTGATATTCAAGTAATAATTAAGTTTGCGTACTAACGGTTTTGTAGATGGCCATTAACTACAGAGATAAAGACGGCTCAATATTAGACGGAGCTAAGTATTTAACTCATCTCCTTGCACGTTACGCCTTGATTGAAGTTCGATATATGGCGATGCCTTTTGGCAACCTAAACGAACTTGAAAAGTGCGTGAACAGCATGTATGAAGCAACACTGGAATATTTGGCGGAAATGAAAAGCTTCCAAAATCAAACGAAACTAGGTACTCTCATTAGCTCGAAATATAGTCCAGCATATATCTCACAGTTTACTTAGGCACTATCCTCAAAAGCGTCACACCCTTGCCTGATAGTGAGCTGAAGAAACTTAAAGATACCCTTCGTAACAGAGATGAAGAGGTAGATAAATGGACAAAACTGATCGAGGACGAATGTAAATAATATAATGTGCCTTGTGTACGCTGAAGTGAATTTAGTTGGGACAGGGAAAACTATCTTGATGTAAGGTCTCAATATCTTTGCTAAGGGTAGCCGTGCCCATATACTAATTGTCTTAGGTCGACCATTATCGAGTATACCAAGACTCTATACGACGAGGAGAACCAAGGAGCGATGGCCTATTTTTACTGTTCGGGGACCCTGGGAACGAGTATTGATTCCATCCTCCGGAGTATCGTTAGACAGCTTGCAAATAGCAGACTGGGGCTAAAAATGGTAACGAAAAAAATGGACAGAAAAGTCCTACGGTGAAGAGCTGCTCACGTTAGATGACTCAAAAGAGATGATCAGGAAACTGGTTAGCCTTAACGGCAGAGCTCAAACAACCATAATTATCGAGGCAATTGATGAGATCAGACAATGAGGACTTGGCTATTTTCTTCGAGATGTTGAATGACCTTATGCAAATAAAAACACCCACATATGCGTCGAATCAAACATGAACTCGGATACTCTCACCACGGAGGATATTCTACAGATCTGCCGCCACCTAGTAGTTCTCAACAAGAGCCCTCTTAAAGCGTTATTTTCCTCTTTTATTGGGAAGGATTGCATAACTGCCGCATTTCCAGACTGGATACAAGGAGTTTCCCGATCATCGGCCATGCTACGCAAACGTTTCCATGGGTATCACTTAATACAAGCTGACTTCACAATGAATATTAAACTAGGGAAGAATCCATCGATAAGTCTCTTCAGAATAGTTTGCCTCTACAACTTCTGGGAAGTTATGGAAGAAATAATCATTGAAGATAAATGGTTGCCTATGGGCATCGCAATAGCATATTGCGGTGGAACACGGTCTCAGCGCTCCAATACAGTCACTGTTGAATGATAAGAAGCCTAGTGTGATAGATAGTCGGCGCAGCAGATGGGGAGATGGCACTGCACGTTGTTAAAGAAACGGGTGTACACTTAACTTCACTATCTGGAAATATCGTGGATGCAAGGACACAGCTTAAAAGCAAAACTAATAATATGTCCGAGATGATAGCAACGTTAAGGTTGTTGCTAAAAGCCCGGACATGTGACATCGCGTGAGAGTGGTGGATGATATGACGAATTTTAAGCTTGCAGGGGATGTCGTGATGTCATCGGCGTGCTTTCGCCAGTTATAGATTTTAGCTAGAACTACCTACCTAAGGTACCTAAAGGTATACCGGTATGTATAGGTATGTAGGTATGTATAAGGCTGATGACTAATTCAGGCACGCGGGGATCGGGACACGCTAAGAATAACTTTCGGGACCAGGGCTTCTTATACTCTTTCCCTCCGGAATTATCATCCGTTGCTGATTCAACTTCTTGTTGCTATATTGACTTGGCTACTTGTACTTCCGACATTACCGACATTACCGACATTACCGACATTACCGACATTACCGACATTATAAGCCCCGAAGGACCCGTTACATACCTCGGTACGTACCCAGAGGCATACAGAGCCTCCCGTTATTGGGAATACTGAGTGTCCAAACTTTAGTATCTAATATAACGGCATAGCGAAGAAGCGAAGAAGCATCAGAAAAGGAAATAAGCCATGGATGCCCGCTGTCAATGCGGTGCCGTCGCGTTTAAAACGCCTCTGCCCAAGCCCCTGGCTCTCTACATTTGCCACTGTGCCGAATGTCGCCGTCAGACGAGCTCGGCCTTTGGTACTTCGGCCATATTCCCCCGTTTTCCTCTACCTCACGCCGAGCTGATGTCGTGCTATGCGTGAGTATTTTATCCGTTTATTTAATTCCGTATCAATATTGTATTATAATCCGTATAGATAGATACCTGTTGGCTTGAAGTGTGACTCACTGACTCGCTGGTGATGATATAGCCGCCCGACACCTTCTGGTCACACGCTCTATTGGTAATTACTACGACTCTCCCTCGGTTTATGATTACGATGATAGATAGATATATTGACTTATCTCTATTAGCTATTTTTGCCGCAACTGCGGGACTAGACTGCTTCACACGACACCGGTAGGTGCATGCCATCGGTGACACATGTAACATGTACGCTAATAACATGCAGGGCAAGAATGTTGTCTCCGTCAAAGGAGGAGTAAGTATATATCCGCTATCTCTTTATTCTTCCTGTTATTCGATGTATAAAACGTATAGTCACCAATATATCACCCAATATGTGACCAGGTGTTTTTTATTTGACCTGAAGAGAGGTAATCACTAACTTCTCATGCCCCTAAAGTGTATAGATGGGCTCGACTGGTCAAGAGCTATCCACATATGGACTAAATCAGCCATGATTCCCATACCCGAGGGCTCCGAAACATACTCGGAAGAGCCTACGGAGTCCGACTACGGCGCCTCTCAGGAATCTCTTGACCAACCCCTCGACCCGGCGGGTATACTCATGAATAGCGGGGCGGCCCCAACGCCAGCTGATATAGAGGGGAAAGCTGCTCATATGGAGCCTGTGAAGGGCGCCTGCGAATTGAGTGGATTATAAACGATGTTGAAAGTTTTGATGAGCGGCGTTGACGCTCGTGCCTGGTGGTTAGCCGATGGTAGTTGGTGGCGCAGTGATGGTAAATTGAAATCGGAAAAGCTATCCATGTAAAAGATACCCTCGCTTCACTCAAGTCCTATCTTTTAAGGGCTGTTTAATCCGGTGGAGGCCAGTAGGCGGGTTCTTATACCACCCTTCATCCGCTGATCTGACTATCTTCGGCGATCTCCGAGTGTTTGGCCGGATCAAATACGTACATAGGTAACTCAAGGAACACCGTTCTCTTTACGATAGCAGGGAGCCGTTCATAGATCTGTGGCGGAAACGGGATAAGGATGCTAGTACGGTTTAAATACCGCTGGTAGCCTTCCCAATTCAAACCCTTCTCGTACCGCTTCTTAGCGCCCGGGCGCTCGGACAGCGGCAGCCCTGAGACGAACATGAGCAGGATGGTGAGGAAGAAGGGACCCAAGATTGTAGCGTAAAGCGCATTGAACGCTTGTCCGACGACGGGGCCATCAGCAGCGGGCGAGACGCATATCATATATATAGCTTTCATCGTCAATTTAAATCCTCACTGATATTCAAGTGAAAACTTACAGAATTGAATAATGATCTCCCCAAAATAATTCGGATGACGACTCCAGTAGAAGAGCCCCGAGTCGCAAATCGCGCTCCGATCATTCCTCGACCGAAACATGAATTTATGCACATCGCTCACGCTCTCCATAGCAAAGCCGATGCCAAATAAAACCACACCTGCTATATCCCGCCCCGTGCCGAAGGCGACTTGCGGCTGGTAGCTGCGGACGGCGGGGGAGTTTAGAATAGTAACGGGCAGCGAGACGGCCCACACCCAAAGCATCTGGAAGACCCAAAAGCCGAGGAACGGAAAGAACCGATCGCGCGTGCCGTCGAAGCGATCGTCTTTGCCCGTCCGTAGCACGCGGTACAGCAAGAAGAGCGAGAGCCGCAATCCCCACACCATAATAAATACCGAGGCCACGATCTGTCGTGCATCGGGATTGCGGCCCAGGGCCAACGTGAGCACGGCCAGGACCACGAAGTTGGTACCTCCGGCGAAGTCTGTAATTTTATGAGAAGATGGTCTTTAATTATGTAGAACTCGATTGGGGAAGAAAGGAAATAGGGGCGGAACCTGTAAGTTTATCAAACTTTAAGCTGAACGCTATCGCGAAGAAGAACAGCTGATACGCGATGGTGACAAGGAGCGTGATGGAGAGGTAGTAGCCGTCGAGGACGTGTACAGGACCCGCCATCCTTTCGTGTCCCTTAGATGGATAGCGAAGGGTAGAAATTAATCAGTTATATATTTCTAAGATATGATAGATTACCTAGGGGTACCTAACCTAGGTAAGCTGTTGTTTATATTTTGATTCTATTAGTGAGTTAAGGTTGATGGTGAATTAGTTATAGTTGAATATCAAACGCAGAAGACCAGTATGAAACACTTCGATTCCAGGGGGATAGCAGATAGTGTCTCGTGACTTATTTATATCATTTCCGATGAGATTATCTATGAAAAGGGAATTACAACATTGTGAGACATTATACGCCCCAGCATGAACTTATATGTATAACAAAGGAGTAACCTAGGCTAGGCTTTTAAGACTCGACTCGACTCGATGGTGGTAAACCAAAGCTCCCTAGCAATCGCTAGATTAAGCGCTAAAATGGCTAGGTTCCTTGCAGTCGGGTTACCTACCAAAAGTGCCGGCTGCTTCAGCCCTACGACGTCATGGACCTGTGCTCTGTAGGTGTAATGGTGTGTCATATTGTCCTTATTATTGTTGTATTATCAAGTATCTAGGAGGAATATCTAATATCTGTAAGATGTGTATACTTATGTGTACACTAAGTGGGTCCAATGACCTTAGGTCATGTGACAGTAGGAGATTAGAATAATTCAATAATGCCACTTCGCACCCCGAGAAATGAATATGGAGACGATATAAGTCAAACCACCCTTACTAGGGCCACCCTAGTGGGGGCCACCCATTTCCCATACAAAATCAACGATTTCGCATATTTGTATTTAATTTAAGAAAATAGATAAAATTATATAGTTTTTGATTTTGAGTACGGTATTGGATTTTAACCAGGTATAAAATTTTGAAAAAATGGCAGGGCTAATATTTATGGTGAAATAAATATAAGAGTATACATTAACAATTATATATATAAATTTATATATAAAGCTGTTAAAAGATATTATTGTTTATAATTTTACCAATTAATATGGTATTGAACTGGTGCTGGTGTATCAGGTGACCTTGACCCTGATCATGTGATCATATTCTTAGTATAAGTACCATTTATGGTCGCACACACCCATTTTACATAGTATCATCCACTTTTAATACAAGTTATTCCTTTCTTTTCTTTTAATATCATCATTTAAAAGTCCTTAATATTAGGTTTAATAAGGCTTGATCCAAGGCTAAGACGTTTAAGTCTTGTTTAATATAAATGTAGAATTTATATTGTTAAATAAAAGACGTTTTAATATAATTTTTAAATTTAAAGCTAATTATATAACTTATTTATTTAAGAAGTTATAAGTGTTTATAAAATTTTATAATAATTTAATAAAATTCTTATATAAAATTAAAATTTTAAAAATTTTAAAAATAATATTAAAAATATATTTTATTATTTTATTATTAAAATATTAAATTTTAAATATGATAAAATGTATATAAACTATTATAATAATCGTAAAGTAAAATATAAAAGATTATATTATTGGGATAACGGTCACGTGACCTCGTCACATGACCAGGGTTATGCCCACACACACCGCTCACGCATAGCCCACACATTTGTATAATAAATATCTGTCACATAATTAATACGTATTAAATAAACGTTATATAAAGTTTAATTCATTATATTTTTAATGATTTAATTTATTAAGGTAAAATCGTGGAAACGTGTGTTACATTGTTATTTTATATAAAATTAAAGATTTTTAAGTTATTTAATATAATTAATTAATTTAATATATTTTTTTAAATGTAATTAATAAATTAATTTAGTTTAAAATATTTTAATATTCCTTTATTATTTAAATTATTAACAATTTAATTTTAGCTTAAAAAAGGCCTTTAATTATTTTTAATTGTTATTAATATATATTTTTTACTTTATGGTTATTTTATTATTTAATTTTTATAGTTATTTTATTTATAAAAGGTTTTTAATATTTATTAAAATTAATTAAATTTTAAATTATTTATATAAATTTTTTATAAAGGTTTTAATAAACTTATTTACAATTATATTTTTTAAAATAACGTAATTTATTTTAATATAATTTTGTTAAATTTTTTAATATAATTAATAATTGTATATATTTATATATTTTAATTTAATTTTTAGTTTTTTAATATTTTTATTAATTAACCTAATTATTTATTTATTATTATAATTAGTTTTAATAATAAATTAATTTAAATTAATTTTATAACAAATATAACCTCTTTTGCTATTTATAATAAAATTAATAATTTAACCTCCGTAATAAATATAGTTATTATATCTTACTTATTAATCTTTTAACTTATTATGCCCTTAAATAATTTTATTACATATATTTAAAAGTTTTTTTAATTATAAATATTATCGATAAATAAGGTATTATTTGTAATTTTAAAAATATTACCCCTTTTTAATTATAACATATATCCCCGTATATATTTAAAATATAAAATTATTTAATTTAATATATTATAATATTTTAAGCTAAGGTTATAATTAAATTATAAAAATTATAAAGTTGTAAAGGTTATATTTAAACGTATAATTATCGTAATATATAAAATAAATCTTATATATTATTAATAGCGATAAGTATTTTTAAATAAGGTTATTTTTTCGTAAAAAAATAATTTTTTTTTAATTATTAAAGTATTTGAAATTTAATTTAAAAGTTTTGCAAAGTTAGTTATTTTATTAATATATACGAATTAATTTAATTAAATAAGTTATTTTTTTTTAATTTTTTATTATTTTAATACTTAAAAATTATTGTAAATTATTATTTTCGGTAAGTTAATAATATTGTTTAAAGTTTTTAATAAAGTATGTTATTTTTTTTTAATTTTAAAATATGTTATAACAATATTATTAATATAAACAAATAATAAATTTTTTTTAATAAATATATAAGGTTTTTTAAGAATAAGTTTAAAGCTTAAGGTTTTTAAAGTTTTAATTAATTCCTTTTATTATAATAAAAGGGATTTTCGCAATTTATATAACGTTTTAAATAATTTAAAAATATTATTTCTTCTTTAATAATTTAATAACATTTTTATAAATATATTTTTTTTTAAATTTTATATTTATAAATATGTTTATAATATTGTATTAAATTAATTTAAAGTTAAATTTTACAATTATTATTATTAAGGTTTTAAAAGATTTTTTGGTTAACGTTAAGATATATATTTTCTCGATTTTTAAAGTTTATTAATCTTTTTAAACTATTAATTTTATTTGAGTTTTTTATAAATAACTATATTTATTAATTTTATATATATATATTTACATATAATTAAAGATTTATTTTTTAAAATATTTAAAATTAAATTATAAAATCTTTTCTTAAGTCTTTATTTAATAATAACTTTTTAAATATATTTTTTTAATTTTTTCGAATAACGCTTTATAAAAGTAATTCTTAATATTATTATATCTTTTAAAAAACTTTAAAAAGTTTTTTTAATATATTTTTTTAAATTTATTTATTTATTAAAAGTTAACTTTAATACGTATTATTAAAATAATTAAATTATATTAAAAAAACTTATAAAATAACCTTATTTTTCCTATTTTATTAATTGCTCATCTTTAATAAATTCTTACTCAACCTTTTAATCTACTTATATTAAATATAACTTATTAAATTTTAATTTATAAATATCTTTTATCAAATAAAATATTAAAATATATCATAACTATAAATAAAGTTATTAATAATAATGGATTTAAAATTGGTATAAAGGCAAATTTAACACTTATATAAAGATAATTAATTTTTATTATGGTATTTATTACCTTAAATTCACTTAATATATTTAAATTTATTATTTACCATATTATTATTAATAATTTAAATAATAATTAATTAGGAATTTTAAATAAATTAAAATATATAATTATATTTTTTAATATTTATATAAAATAAATTATTACGTAATTTCTTTTTTAACTTTATAAAATTTTTATTAAATAATTTATCTTTATTAAAAATTATATTATA